CGAGACGGTTACGACGGAGAGACCGGTTCGTCGGTTTTGGGAGCTAGTAAACCGAACAACGATGTCGAATATAGACCTGCAGTCGCTGAAGGAGACGGACCCGGATGCCTGCCAAGATGGAGGAGACATGATGACGTATTTTGACGCGTGGTCCTGGCCGATCTACAACCCGTGTCGTAGTACCAAAGGCCTTGCGGATGCCGGGAACGTCTTTTGCATCAGAATGGACGGCGAGCGAGGGTGTTTCGCCTTCGGGCCCCCCTATGGCTTTGACCTTGTGGCTGTGCGTCAAGGCATCAACGATTACTGGACTCCTAAGGAGTGTGGCATTGTGTGCTACGATCCGAAGAAGGCCACCCAGGTCCTGGATCGCGCACTGGTGGAACGACTCGGTGCAGGTCTGTCAGGTCCGAACCTGAACATTACCGCATTGAACACGCAGTTGAACACGGAGGCTCTTGTTGCCCTGAAGCGCGAGGTACTCGGACGGTACCCCCTGGACCCCGAGTGTTCAGTGGGCTGCGAGGGCTGTCTTGGAGACAGCTCTGAGGACGCCGTCAATCAACTACTCAAGTGCTTTTGCGACTACGTCAGCGTCCACTGCGATGGCATTGACAACGAAGGCCTGGACACGCCCATGGCCAGCTCAAATGCTGGTTTCAACACGACCGTCGGTCAGGTTCTGTCACAGCTGCAAGGCCCGAAAGACTCGAAAAGAGTCGACTCCTGTCTGGTCGAATGCCGACGAGCACAACAATAGGTGTTGCGCGCACATGTTCCGAACACACTTTTGTGCGTCTTACTTCCCTACGATCCGTCATAGGCGAGTATCGTCTCTTGTCAGATGCGTGTTGTGTCTACGTGCGCCAGAGTTTTTTTGGAATAAAACAAAACTACCACGGCAGCACCAATCGGCGGCTCAACGAGTGGCAGCGGCGGCTCAACGAGTGGCAGCGGCGGCTCAACGAGTGGCACAGAGGACCCACCCCGACACGAACCATTCCCCCCGTCTGGTGTGTCAGTAGGCGGCTTCCATTTGTTAGTCTCGCCCGCCGAAGCTTTTTGCCAAATACAGAGGGAGTCAGTAACCGTAGCAATGCAAGTCACCAGAACCAACAACGAGGACTCTTCCTACGACGCAGGCAGCACCACGTCAGCAGCGGACCAGTACGACGCAACACCAACTGCAGCGCACACCAGTCTCCGCGCCTTAACCGAAGCAAACTCGTGTGCACACCAGTCTCCTTACTCCGCACACGCGCGTGTGCAGTGCTAGTCTTGTCCTCTCGACCTTCGTGTTGACGAACGAAGCACTCAACTAATTCTCGGTCTTTTAAGACGACGCAAGGCTTGACCTGGGACCGTCCTTGAGGCATTATGGATGTCTCCTTTGTTTGTTGACGACCTCTTGATCGTAGCTACTGGTGGGTCGAGCGAAACTTTTTTTCCTGTGGTCAATGAAATCAGTAGCTGCCGCCGCAACAGCAAAGCCTGAGTGCAATGGGGTGGATTGGCCAGGCCTGATCGGAGCCCTGGTGAACCCCGACGGGTCCCTTACGGGTGTTGGAGGATGCACTCCTTGGTTAATTGGGCTATGTCGCCCGAGTCGTCCCGGCGACGTTGCTCTGGCAGTGGCTATGGTCCCGAAGGCGTTATCTTTGAGCGCGACTTCGCTGGAGGCCTTTGACTGGCTGCACGACGCGAATGGAATCAGGTTTTTGGCGTCGACCGGCTCTTGGCCCGTGGAGGCAGCAGCCTGGCGGACGGTGAAAGGCTTCGCGGAGGCCTTGTTCGCGGCTGAGGAGTGGAGCATGTACAGGGACGACCCAGAGGCGTCGAGACGTGAGTTGATTGACTCACTGGCTGCACAAATGTTCGGCGCGTCCAGCTTGCCGGTCGCAGACATTTCGGCCGCGGACTTAATGGATGCGAGGACGGAGCTGGTCTTCTTGAGAAACTTAGCGATGGACGAAAGTGCCGAGCTTGCGAGTCAGGTACCTGTGGGGTGGAGAGAAATGTTCGCAACTGACAGTGTTGAGAATGGACTGGACCGGAACCCATCTACCCTTGTCAGTCTGGGTGATAACGCCCTGCTTGATGGCGACCTGCTTGATGACGAGCTGAGGTTGGTCGCTCTGGATGTGCGGCCATATAGGGAGGCGCTTCGTCAGTCGTTTGGTGAGGAGCTGGCTGGTGACGAGATGTCTGATGCCGAGATCCGCGAGATGGTGTTCTGCGCTTGGGACACCCTCAGGGCCTCCTTTGAGGGTGGCCTCGGTATTGACGCCGCTGTGCGACGGTTGTCCATGTGGGCCAGGGTCGAAGAAGCCATAAATGCATCTGACCCTTTGAAGACGACGTTATGCGCTTTCGGCATCCACGCTTTTATCTGCGCCTGGTGGGCTGTCAGCCGCCTTGTCCATAACCCCTTTTAAAAACTGTTATGCTCTTGAACGGAACGAGCCTGGAGTCGATCTACCCAACCGACTCCTCGCCCGCCAAGTCTTGCATCCTCGCCCGCCAAGTCTTGCATCCTCGCCCGCCAAGTCTTGCATCCTCGCCCGCCAAGTCTTGCATCCTCGCCCGCCAAGTCTTGCCGTCATGTCGAGTACGTTGGGAGTCGATATCGTGCGTTGAGCGTTATTTACGCGCGACGGTCCAATGAACTGGGACAGTCTCAAAGGTAACCCGGACAACGCAAGCGATCAGGTAGACGCCGGACGAGTGAAATCCTACCTGACAGGGCCGGTGTGTTGGGCCGTCAAAGTGTGCGATTCGTCGGTCGCCTTTGGCGGTTACTTTTGACGGCATAAAAGTAGCCTCTTCTAGTACACAGCCACGATGCCAAGACGTGAACCCGCAACGATGCCAAGACGTGAACCCGCAACGTACACTCTCCAGATCATTGTGGGACTCACTGCAAAATGCCTTGTACAATTTCGCTGCCGTTGCACGTATCTGGCGTAAGGCTAGTCTCCGGGAGCGGGCCCGAAAACACAACAGCGACCAGAACAAAGGTCCACAGGAACAGCGGTCGAGTTTTTTCCCCGTCAAGTAGCGTGCGTGGGGACGGGGTTGATTGCAGCTCTAGCGAGCCCCGACGGGACCCGTCCCGTCGATGTCAGCCTAAATGCGCTGGAGGGGGTTAGGCGCTGGAGGGTAGGCGCTGGAGGGGGTTAGG